CGTTCTCATATTGGGAATAGGTTGGATGAAATGGTTGTAAGCCTTGAGAAATGTTATTTTCTTATACCAGTACTCTACATGTTGATCAGGATCTTGATTCAAGTAATAATAAGCACAAATAACATGAGGATAAGGAATACCTCTCAACATCCACAACCTACGGTCACAGTGCTTCTTGTCCAAGTGAACAGCAAATGAATATTTCCCCTCGCTAATTTCAAAACCATTCACCACATTCCATTGAACTTTACAGTTATGGTCATTTTATACACGTCGGATACACGTGGAGAGCTTATTAACACATACCACACAATCTATGAAAAGTGACGAAAAATACTTAAACAGTTCAAATGTTGTCTAGTAGAGGTGCCCAATAGGTATTAGGTATAGTTGAGGTGTCTAAATGAATTATGCGGACAATTTTAAGGGGCCGCAAATGACTTAATCCTTTACAATATAAAAATCAGCATCATGCATATATAGCTCAAACATAACAACATTTCAATTTCTAATAATATAATTATGCATGTGTATGTAGGAGTGTCCCCCATAACATGGAGCACGAATGCATTCTTCCAATCTGTTGTTTGTTTCACAATCTCCACCTTCTCTAAGTCTACCAATAACTTTCCTTCAACAATCATATAAGATATGAAGAAGACAGTCATATATGTATCTTGTAATTTTATTCTGTATAAATAAATTTATTCAAGTTTTAAGTCTCTTTTTCTCCTTTTTATGACCTAGGTTGAGTTTGCGAGCAACTGGAGCTTATTTAGTAAAACTTGGTTGAGTTTAGGGTCATAAGAGACCTCTAGTACTAAGTCGAGTTCAAAACCTTCGTACCGGCTAAGTTTTTCGAATGAGTTCATGCAAGGGTAAACTTCAAACGACCATATATCTCATTATATAATAAATTGTATGACTCATGACTAATCAAACTAAAGTTCTATAAATCTTCTTTCCAACTCCACCAAGTTTGCATCACTTGGAGTTCGGAGTAAGAAGTTATAACCATTTTACTAGAGACTATCACAACCGAGTTTTCAGTCATACAACTACGAACCTAATTTATGGGTCGTAAATTGAAGTAGGACCCACATTGTGAACTCGTAGAATAAACTTCTAAAAGTCTTTTTTTTTTCTGATTCTTTCAAACCTAGTTACGGGTCATAAAAGCATCTATGGGCTGTAATTTGGGCCCATAAAATGAAGTCTTAAAACATGTTTTGGGCCTAATTTACATGGATATGATTACGGGTCATAAACCCAATTACGGGCCGTAATTTGGGCGTATTAACTTCAAAAACTCAAAATTTCAGTCTGACTTCCACGGATGGAATCTACGGCCCGTAAATCGAACCACAGACCGTAGATGGCCTCGTGGAAGGTTTTTGATAAATTTTTAATTAGGGTTTATTTTGTCCTTTCCCATTATTCCTAAGTCTAAACCACGATATTACGCATATCCTAAAAGGTGTTTTTATGCTCAAGACTCAGTTCCTACACTCTTAACTCTTCAAACTTAGAAACTATCATAAGGAAGGCAAAAGCTAAGGTTTCAAGTCTTTCAAGTAAGTTTTTCATTCAAATCTCAATCTCTCATGTATGTAAGGTTTCAATGAGAGTATTATTTCACTCTCATGCCTAAGGTATTTTTATTCTTAAGAATTTCACAAGATTGATAGAAGTAAAGATAGGATTTTTATGAAATTATGATCTTTCTTTACCACAACAAAGTTTTCCAAGGCTAATAGCTACGAACCTCATTTATGAGTCATAAATTGAAGTACGACCCACATTGTGAACTTGTAGAATAAACTTTTGAAAGTCATTTTTTGTTTGATTCTTACTAACCCAGTTACGAGTCGTAAAAGCATCTATGAGCCATAATTTGGACCCGTAAAATGAAGTCTTGAAACACGTTTTTGGACCTGATTTACATGGATATGATTACAGGTTGTAAACTCAATTACGGGTCGTAATTTGGGTGTATGAACTTTAGAAACTCAAAATTTCAGTCTAACTTCCACGGATGGGATCTACGGCCCGTAGATCAAACCATAGACCATAGATGGCCTCGTAGAAAGTTCTTAGTATTTTTTTAATTGGGGTTTCTTTTGTCTTTTCCCATTATTCCTAAGTCTAAGCTACGACCTTACGCATATCCTAAAAGGGATTTTCACACTCAAGACTCAGTTCCTACACTCTTAATTCCTCAAACTCAGAAACTACCATAAGGAAGGCAAAAGCTTGGGTTTCAAGTCTTTCAAGTAAGTTCTTCATTTAAATCTCAATCTCTCATGTATGTAAGGTTTCAATTAGAGTATTCCTTAACTCTCATGCCTAAAATATTTATCTATAAGAATTTAACAAGATTGGTAGAAGTAAAGATAGAATTTTTATGAAATTGTGATCTTTCTTTACCACAACTGAGTTTTTAGAGTCTGATAACTACGAACCTCATTTATGGGTCATAAATTGAAGTACGACCAACACTCTGAACTCGTAGAATAAACTTTTGAAAGTAATTTTTTTGTCTGATTCTTACGAACCTAGTTATGGGCCGTAAAAGCATCTATGGGCTGTAATTTGGACCCGTAAAATGAAGTCTTGAAACATGTTTTTGGGCCTGATTTCTATTGATCTTATTACAGATCATAGACCCAATTACGAGCCGTAATTTGGGCACGTATAATGAACTTCATATACTCAAAATTTCAGTCTGGCTTTCACGGATAGTATCTAGGACCCGTAGATTAAACCGCAAACTGTACATCGCCTTATAGAAAGTTTCCGACAGTTTTTAACTGGGTTTATTTTGTCTTTTCCACTATTCTTAAGTCTCAGCCACAACATTATGCATATCCATGAAGGGATTTTCATGCTCAACACTCAGTTCCTACACTTTTAACTCCCTCAAACTCAGAATGTACCGTAAGCAAGACAGAAGCTAGGGTTTCAAGTCTTTCAAGCAAGTTCTTCATTCATATCTCAATCTCTCTAGTATGTAAGGCTTCAACGAGAGTATTTCTTCACTCTGAATCTTTTCAACAGACCACCTCAACTTAAACTTCTTGAACTCATATGTTTCTATATGTCTTCGGCAAGGAGTTGAGTGCAGCAGTGAAAAAGCTCCCATTGTTGGAGGAACTGCACCTTTACTACATCTCAATCACCAAAGAAGCCATTGAAACTATAAGTCGTTCTTGTCGTTCTTTAAAGTCGTTTAAGTTGATCAACTTAAATGACTTTAAATAATGACAATAACTGTTTATTGTTTAAATGGCTTCTTTGGGTATTGGGATGTAGCAAATGTACAACCCTCCAACAATGGGAACTTCTTCAGTGCTGCACTCAACTTCTCATTGAAGACATTGTAGGAGCATATAAGTTCAAGACGTTTGAGCTAAGGTGATCACCAGATCGAAATGAATTGGTACCGGACCGGGATGGTTCAACCGGGTTGTTGACTGAAATTGGGATGAACCGGACCAAAATTATCGGGATGGAAACTTGGTTTCGTCCCATCCCACTATATACCAATATAGAACCGGAACGGACAGAAATGGGATAAATGGGACGACACATATAACTATTTCAAAAAATAATATATTTTTTTGAGTTATTTTGAATTATGAAAATAAGAATTTTTTTTTGAAGTTTTTCAGTTTATGTTATAAGTTTTCAAGATTTGAATCTTTTGAAGCTTATAAGTTATAACTTATAACTTGTAATTTAAATAACTTAAGTTTGTAATTTGTTAAATTTATAAATTTTAAACTTTTTAGGTTTATATTATTTGAAGTTGATGAATTAAGTTTGTAATTTTAAAAAATAAAATAAAAAATGAAATGCTAATAAAAGTATAAAACAATGACAAAATTTTAAAAAAACCAATCCAATTTCCCGGATCGGACCAGAACCGGAATGAACCGGGATGAACCGGTACCAGTACACCGATACCAAATAATGATACCGTCCCGTTCCGAGTACCAATTCAATGTATTCCATTCCGTCCCGAATACTACTGAACCAGAACGGTACCGGTACAACTCGGTCCGGTGCCCAGCCTTAATAGAGATACTGAAAAAGGCAAATAAAGTGTGTACAACATGTTGGAAGATGCACAATCGCCATCAAATTGTACAAACACTTTATCTACATTCTTCGGTATGCCTATCATCCAAAGTTTATGTTGTATCATTGAATATAAAGCATAGCGTAATAAATCATTTGTTTGGAGACTTACAGACTTTCTCTTTTCAGAAGCGGACCGTCTGCGGCAACCATGACTCAATTACCAATCTAGGAATGGAGAATGGATGCCCTAGTTCACAGCCTAAATATCCTCAATTAGGTATATATGCATATGCAGAGAAACTCTCTACCCCTAGCCGTTCACTAGGAGATCTAGAGTATGTCTTCCAACATGTATAATGGTGTTTATATAGACAATATTAGGGCGTAGGGTTAAATTAACTAATGGGCCAGCTCACATAGCTAGCTCTTGTATGGGTGCATTAGGCCCAAAAGATATTCTTATTGACACATACAATGCTCTGCTCCGTTATATAGTAATGTTAAATGAGTCATTTTATGAAGTTAATAGTAACATTAATGTCTCTCAATTATTGAAAAAAAAACTGCAAAGACAAATAAAAAGATTAATTTTTTCTATGATTTCCAACTATACAAACTTAGTAATGAATGATCAAACATAGTCTATAGTTATAAATGAGTACTTTTTATTATCTCCAAAAACAAACTCATACTAGAACAGCTAATATGCTTTTAAGGAAATTCAAGATTTTGATGTCATCAGGCAAAATGAGATAGTACTAATTAGTGTTGTGATCCAAATGATACCACCAAATAAGTGGTTAAACAATATCAAAGCTAATACATGTATTATTTTCTCTCATATACTTTGCGTACCAAATAAGTGATTAAACAATATCAAAGCTATACAAAAACTCCCCAAGTGGCTAAAGAACAGATTAAGCTGAAAGTTCACTTTCTCTATTGCTATTTGTTGAGCCCTCTAATTTTTTCCATGATCTAGTCAATAATACCAGTAGCGATAAGCCAGAAGTTTGGCAAGCTAGACCACATATCAAGCCAATCCATAAAACCTGCATCATATTTTTTTCAAAAACAAAAACTTTCATCAAGTTTAAATCTTGAATCTGTCTACACGATGACACAAATAAAGCATATGGCCGCATTTGAATTACCTGAGCATGTAGGCTGAGCTTGAAAACAACGAGGACTGCTATTGGGATGCCGATGAAATAGAATGCTGCCAAGTCGATGCACATAGCATAACGCTCCCACCCACATCCTCTAACCACCCCTGATCAATCGAATGACAAAGTTATTAAGCTTATTTTGAATGTCAAAACTAATAGTACATATATATATCTCCGGATATTACAGAAATAAAAATCTGACCTGATAAATTTCCTTGAGTGAATTCGAGTACAAAGGATATTAAAAGAAGAGGTACCATGGAGGCAAATTTGTTAATTATCTCCGCGCTATCACTAAAGAGGCCAGCCCAGGCAATATGATGATTCAATAGAGCCAAACAAAGTACATATACTAAAACAATAGTTTGCTTGAAAGCAACAGCCACAACATGTTTAGCTCCCTCAGGATTTCCAGATCTCAACTCCTTTGCAACTCGGGTGCTGCATATATATAATGTAAATGATTTATAATGTAACACTCCTTCCGTTTCAATTTGTTTGTCTTAGTTTGACTGACTATACGGAGTTTAAGAAAGTAAATAAGACTTTTGAATCTTGTATCGGTCTTGAGCGAAAAATATGTAAAATGTATCAAAATACTCTGTAATCTTATGGTTTTAAACATGTCATATGTTATGTTTAAATTAAAGACTTAGCAAATTAGGAAAGAGACATTCTTTTTTAAATGGACTAAAAAAATATATATAAAACAGGGGGAGTAATTGTTACTCCTAGTACATTATATATGCATGTTAAGCCTGCTATCTTTTTGGTAACTTGTCATAGAGATATATAGTTTACCTATAATATATCTTAAGAATATAACAATGTAAGTATTTATTCCTCCCGGACAGTGTATAAAAGTTAAACTCATATTCATGCATGGTAGATTACCTTACACCTACACTCATACCGGAAAATAACATGTGGGCAATGGCATGGGTATTTACACTGAAAAGTCACAACCAAAAAAATGGTCAGCCTTGCTGAATGTGAAAATGTGATATATGGTCTAAAGCAAAGAAGCTTTTACCTCATCGCAATTATGGAAATCGATGTTTCCGGGTTTGGCATCAAACCAGCAAATAACACAAGAATCTCAAAAGCGCAGTACTCCAAACTGCGTATATACATGTACATCGTCATTACCAACAACAGCATACCCAATGTAATCCCACAAGTAGAGTCAGGGGAGAGGGTAGAGTGTATGCAAACCTTACCATAGAACGAAATGAAGAGCAGTACACAACATACAGAAGGAAAGAATAGTAATATGATCGAGCACTACGTACGTTACTCACCAGATCATGGCAGCAGAGGGCATAGCCAATTTCAAGTTAGTAAGGATATGATGAAAATGAAATGGCTCGAAAGAGAAAGCGTAATCCCATTTGATATGTTTGGAGAAAAACATGAATAGACCAAAGATGATGAGTTGAATCCAAATGGAAATAGATGTTGCTAATGATGCTCCTTTAAAACCAAGACCTGTCCAATGAACCAAAGCATAGGCAATAATAGCAATATGTATAACTAAAGATGCCATTGAAAACAAAAGTATAGGGTCTAAAATTGAGTGTGCCCTAAGAAATCTCATGGCATTTTGCAAAAAACCATATCCAAACAATCCAGGTATAAGAAACTTCAAAAACAGTCCTGCTTCTTTCGCAATTTCATGATCCTGATGAAATAAATGAATGAGAATTGTATCTGAATACCACCAGAGAAGAGCTATCGCGGTTGAAAAGAAGAATGATATGACACATGATGTCTGCAGCAAAGTGTACGTTGTTGTTCGGGATTGTCTACATAATGTTTCGACTGCAGTATTTAATCCAAATATGAAAGAGAAACCAGTGATTACAGCCCAGGAAGTAGCGAGATTCGAGGCAGCTAGTTGAAGATTGCCAGCAAACATGACAGAAACAATATTGATGGAATAGAAACTAGTCAATATAACAATCAATGGCGATGAAATCATTGACTGATTCGTTACTTCCTCCATATCTATTATCTTATTAAAACACCCGTTTAACGTACTCAAACACCCCTCCGTTTTTTCGCTGGAGTTAGCCATTGATGAGGCGATACAAAAAGTAAATTACAGCCTTAACAGAAATGTAGACCTAAAGCTAATTTTTGGATATTATATTGGGGGAAGACAGAGTACTCATGAATGATGATGGTTTCCGGCAGATTGGATCGAATTTGGCGGGTCAAAATGTGTTACAGTTAATAAATTGACTCGTCATTTACACAAATGCCCCCTATTTTGGAAGTAAATTGGTCATCAACTTTGTGTTTATTATTCAAAAATTTATCTTAGCTTTCACAAAAGTTTGTTAAAATCCAACCTAAAATGTGAGAGAAAATAATAAAAATAACACTTATGTTTGATGGTAGATTCAAAATGGTCTTTCGAGTTTGTTCTTCAATACTTCAAGAAAAAAATAAAGTGGCCAAAAATACTTTACACTAATAACAAATACAATATTTTTTGTCTCGACAAAAATTTGTATTTTCGTATTATAACGTACCATAAGTTATTTTGTATAAGGCATAGCATGTTATATTGTACGGCATGAGTAAAAATTTAGTTTTGGAACTCATATATTATGACGCAAAATGCATAATTTAATTTTTAACCAAACTTTTTTGCCTTGCAAAATAGGTCATAGAAATACTACAAACTTTTCTTGCATAACTTAGTTCCTTCATAACTCCTGTCAAGCGAGACAACGATTCTTTAAACTTATGTTGAGTGAAACAATGGTTCTTCAAACTTATGCCGAGTGAATTAGGTCCTAGACAAAGATACTTTTGTCCACAAATTTTCATTAAGTAGCTTATTTGAGTGCAACAAGGAGTTGAGTGCAAAAAGTTAAGATCACCCGATACCATTATGTATTTAGTCTAAGACTAATACTATAATTAGTATGAACAACAAATACATGGATAGAGAAATATTAATTGTTAGTTTCGCTTTTTTCGTGATTATGTTTATTGGCAATGAAAAGTATATGTCTTAGAGCTTTTATGATGACACTAACCCATTAAGCAAGGTGAAGCACTTAATATGTTTTGCATCTCGCTTCTCGGCTAAAATGCAACTTTGATAACACTTCACCTATTTCTATTCTTCTCTAATAGCAAAAAGCAAAAATAGCCCCTCTGCTATTGAATGAGCATATATGATATATGTGTTTGAAGTCCATCAGAAACATACCTGAAAAGGAAACCATCTGATTTAGTATATATATACTGATTTAATATCAATTAAGCGAAATTATCAGCCTTAATGATACCAATACAGTATATGATACTGATTTAGTAGCGTTAAGCGCAATTATCAACCTTAATGATATCAATACAATATATGATACTGATTTAGTAGCAGTTAAGCGAAATTATCAACCTTAATGATACCAATACAATATATAATACTGATTTAGTATCAATTAAGCGAAATTAGTTAAGGGGGAGGTATATAGTGTAATTATTTAGTGGAGTATGAATGTAAAGGGTTATATGTTTATAATTATTTTGCTTTTATGGAGTATTTGCTTAGTTTCCCCAAATAATTAGTTATATTGGGCCCGTGAACGGGCCTTCAATTATCTAGTGTGTGTGAGCATATATATATATATATATAGGGAGTAGTATTGAGCACCTATATGGGTTAAGAGTTCAGAAAACTCAAATCCCTAAACTACATAGCTAGGATAGGATGGTACCAACATACAAACTACGCCTCTTTGGCTTAAGAAAGCATTTTTAGTTTATCCATCAGTTCAGTTGCGCTCTATACTCCGACAAGGTGTAGGACGACTCTTGCAACATGGTAAGACGTTGTATCATCACAAGTCTTATAGTGATTGTGGTAGGTTAGAGAAACATCTTAGTAAATTAGAGAGTAATCATATGTATAATTTAGTTAAGTTCAATATTTGCTATTATAGAATTTTATTTGTGAATCTTAAATAATTTCATCTCATTTTTATGTTTTACTTTAGTTGAGTTATATTTCAACCTCTTGGTTTAATTATTGTTTCACTCAGCCATATTACATACTCCTACATTCAATGTACTTGTCCCGACACCTATTGTATTTCAGTACAGGCTTCATAGATTGATTCTATTGAGAGTCTTTTAGTATTTATATTAAGCTGTTTTGTTAAAACTATTACTGCTTTCATTAAGTATTTCAGATGTTTTAATTGAGTACTTTGAATTAATGATTTATTTCAACTTTAAAGTCTAAATCTGCTTGTGTCAAACTTTTTCTAAGTAGTCTGTCGGGCCAAGGGTTCACTAGGGATCATCAATGGTTCACAAGTGCCAGCTACATCCAGGATGTAGGCTTGGGGCGTGAAAAACTTGGTAATAGAGCACACAGTTTAAGAGTACTAGGGTGTCTATTAAGCCGTGTCTAGTAGATTCCTTGTTATCGGTGTGAAGTGTGCCACATCTATAATGATGAGGATACGACATTTAAGAACTTTTCACTCTCTTCTAACTTCTGTTCGTGTGATAGAGTTCAACTCTATAAAATTTTCTTCTAACTTATGCTTACGCGTGACTTTTCAAATCCTGCCTCCACGAAGAGGAATTCGAGGACGTCTTGCTAAGAGGAATGCAAATCCTCAAGGCCAAGAAGCTTCCAATAAACTAGGAGTGCAACCCTCTTAGTGATATGTCATCAATGATGAGTTCAGGAATGTTATTCAACAGAAATGTAGACCTAAAGCTAATTTTTGGATATTATATTGGGGGAAGACAGAGTACTCATGAATGATGATGGTTTCCGGCAGATTGGATCGAATTTGGCGGGTCAAAATGTGTTACAGTTAATAAATTGACTCGTCATTTACACAAATGCCCCCTATTTTGGAAGTAAATTGGTCATCAACTTTGTGTTTATTATTCAAAAATTTATCTTAGCTTTCACAAAAGTTTGTTAAAATCCAACCTAAAATGTGAGAGAAAATAATAAAAATAACACTTATGTTTGATGGTAGATTCAAAATGGTCTTTCGAGTTTGTTCTTCAATACTTCAAGAAAAAAATAAAGTGGCCAAAAATACTTTACACTAATAACAAATACAATATTTTTTGTCTCGACAAAAATTTGTATTTTCGTATTATAACGTACCATAAGTTATTTTGTATAAGGCATAGCATGTTATATTGTACGGCATGAGTAAAAATTTAGTTTTGGAACTCATATATTATGACGCAAAATGCATAATTTAATTTTTAACCAAACTTTTTTGCCTTGCAAAATAGGTCATAGAAATACTACAAACTTTTCTTGCATAACTTAGTTCCTTCATAACTCCTGTCAAGCGAGACAACGATTCTTTAAACTTATGTTGAGTGAAACAATGGTTCTTCAAACTTATGCCGAGTGAATTAGGTCCTAGACAAAGATACTTTTGTCCACAAATTTTCATTAAGTAGCTTATTTGAGTGCAACAAGGAGTTGAGTGCAAAAAGTTAAGATCACCCGATACCATTATGTATTTAGTCTAAGACTAATACTATAATTAGTATGAACAACAAATACATGGATAGAGAAATATTAATTGTTAGTTTCGCTTTTTTCGTGATTATGTTTATTGGCAATGAAAAGTATATGTCTTAGAGCTTTTATGATGACACTAACCCATTAAGCAAGGTGAAGCACTTAATATGTTTTGCATCTCGCTTCTCGGCTAAAATGCAACTTTGATAACACTTCACCTATTTCTATTCTTCTCTAATAGCAAAAAGCAAAAATAGCCCCTCTGCTATTGAATGAGCATATATGATATATGTGTTTGAAGTCCATCAGAAACATACCTGAAAAGGAAACCATCTGATTTAGTATATATATACTGATTTAATATCAATTAAGCGAAATTATCAGCCTTAATGATACCAATACAGTATATGATACTGATTTAGTAGCGTTAAGCGCAATTATCAACCTTAATGATATCAATACAATATATGATACTGATTTAGTAGCAGTTAAGCGAAATTATCAACCTTAATGATACCAATACAATATATAATACTGATTTAGTATCAATTAAGCGAAATTAGTTAAGGGGGAGGTATATAGTGTAATTATTTAGTGGAGTATGAATGTAAAGGGTTATATGTTTATAATTATTTTGCTTTTATGGAGTATTTGCTTAGTTTCCCCAAATAATTAGTTATATTGGGCCCGTGAACGGGCCTTCAATTATCTAGTGTGTGTGAGCATATATATATATATATAGAGAGAGAGAGAGAGAGATAGAGAGAGCAAAAAGGGAGAATTTTTGCAAATAATCACTATAATAAACTTAATTATACTTCATAGTTATAGCTCGCATATTTGTGGGCTATAACTACAGTTTAAGCTGTCTCGTTTGTATAATTCAGTGGTTTGTGTAATTCGCGGATACGTTTGTATAATTGAGTTATTTTTGTATAAACTCGAAATAATAAATTTATACAAATACAAACATCTGAACTTTAAACGGTACACAAATTATATTATACAAAATTACATTATACAAAAGCTAAACAAATTCCGAATTAGACAAACTCGAAACTCCAGCCCACAAAATTATCATTGAATGTTGATCGCGAGTGGTAATTAACTTAAACTATAGCTATGATATCTAATTAGTATATGTTGGCTTAACTATATAATTTTGCAGAGAATAAATATGGTTCAACTACAACATCTAGACAACTAGTAAGTACTAAATAAACTGTAAATACATATATTTATTGTCTCCTCTTTACATTGAGAAGCAATTGTTAACTCATTTGTTCAACTGCAACATCAATAAGTAGAGGCATATATTGAGGTCGATTCACAGAAAAAATATGATAGCTCCATTTGGTTATTCTATTTAGCGATGAAAGAAAATAAATAAAATTTCTTTGATCTGCATATATTTTTAACTTTCATTTGTGGTTTCTTTAATTTGTAGGGTCCTTTTTCATTCTCTAAATATATTGAAGATC